TATCTGGAAAGACGCATGGAGTAATTGCGTTTGAACCTTGACAAGGTCATTACGGAAATATATTGATATATGGCCAAGGCGGCAAAATTGCGCAGAGAAAGATACAGAGAACAGCACCGATCAGCACAAACACTCTGACTTCTTTATACAATAAGATGTTTGGAAAATTTACAGTTAAGTATCTCAAGAATACTAGATGGGCAGCCAATACCAACAGGTAGCTAATATCATCCGGGCATCCAATATTGATTGAACAATCAGTATCAACTAGACAGAACAGGCAGCGCTCAAACCCGTTTGACGAGCAGCTACTTCTGAGTGCATCAATGCACATGATGCAGAAGACCCTGGAAGGGTTTTTCGAACAGATGTGATCAAATACAGCAAGAAGGGAATATATGACTTTGGGTTGCCAAGATATCTGCTACTCATTCACCGCCTCACCCGTTCACCTCCCATCTCCGACTTGAGTATCTCGAGCACTTCTGAGATGGACTATCAAAAGCAACAACTTTGGATTGTCAATTTCACAGGTACGACTGTCAAAGTGGTGGAAAGCTTTTCAGCCTACGGGGAATTTGTCGTTAAAGGAAGTATCATACATAGCATAATCGGAAAACTTGACATTACCCTTTTCGAAGTATCAGGTCCAAGAAGCGATCCCCCGTTTTTGACGTTGGAGGATTTCCTGCGGCTCGGAATTCGGAAACGACAGAGATACTTTCGAGCGGTTGGATGCTACCTAGTTAATGAAATCTTCGGCCGGTCCCCTTGAGCTCTCTTTAGCTCTTGAACTTCTTCTCAATATCAAAACGGGAAGGCTAAAGGAAATTTTCTACAACTACATTGGATATAATTGACGAGTGATAAGTACTAGAAAGTCAAACATCTTGGAGAGCTTGAGAGTCAAAGGTTTTTGGGTTTTGCATCTCCAGCATCAGTACGGATGGATACAAATGTATTCAGCGAGCGTGCACTTTGAATTTTCCGAGAAATGTTCCCCTCACGGTTTAATTTTTTAACTCGATAGATATTTATTAACTACCGGCGCACGATCAAAAGATATCTCCATGCATTCAGCCTCGAAGTCTGACCACTACGATGGAGAAACGAGGAAAAGATTTCATGTGATCTATGACTGCTGCACTCCAACGATATTATCCGTGCCCTCCCCCGTAATTGGTTGATTGCTATGGCACAAACCCCAGAAAGTGCAGGAGAAGAAAAGAAGTCAAGTCGCGCCTTGAGGTTACAGCAAGTCAGTGAAGCGTGAAGTTTACTCTTGTATCGTACCAGTAGTTCATCCCGAAATCATTTTATAAGTTCCAAGCTACCAATTAAAGATGATGCAGATCCTCATCTGCGCATTTTGAAACAAACATTGTTTCTTTTCCTTCTTGAAGGTGTAGGGATTGTGGATTTTTTAACATTTTCGGAATTAGAAGATTAGCATTTAGCATTTAGCATTTAGCATTTAGCATTTAGCATTTAGCATTTAGCATTTAGCATTTAGCATTTAGCATTTAGCATTTAGCATTTAGCATTTAGGAATTTAGGACTTTATTAAGCATATTATTTTCGTCCGAAGTTGAATGAATGAATGAGCGAGTGAGGGAGGGATGTATTTTTGGCGAGAGTCCAGAATTCACCAGTTCCAGAAGTTCTAGAGTAGCCCTGGAGAGTCTAGAGAGTTGAGGGATGAACCTCTCCCCTTCTCCCCTTCTCCACTTTTTGATGGGAACGGGAAAACTTGATGGATTTCGGGAAGTTTGATTGACTTTTTTATTTATTGATCTTGACGTAGGTATGTGTCTAGTACCTATGCCATAATGGCGATGTGATGTGATGTTATTGCAGGTGTCGTTTGATGCGATGCGATGAGATGAGATTGATATTGTGATGATGGAAATACTAGATATATACGGACTTTGATATAGGTACTGTATTCTGTAAATGCAGAGCTTGAAAAATGAATAATAATGCAACTTAACTTGTACTATGTATATGGGATTTGGGATTACATGTATTAATTAATTCAGAGTCCGTAAGTATATATCGTAGAAAGGTAGGGACTTTACCATAATGTACCTACCTACCTAGTAGTATCATTCGAAAAATAACATGCAAACCACAGGCATCGCATCCCTCCGGAATCCATCGACGTCCTAGGTACTCTCCGTGCGTTGGAATTGGATTTATGCATATGGGGTTTCTGCATGATTGTATTACCTACCTATTTTTGACACACATACATATGCATATATATGGATGCACACCGAGACCAACGGGAATCACAATTATCCCATGGCATAGCGATCGATAGGAGTCGAACGAATATCAACTTATCTCGACACTTTGCGCTTTTCCGTATGTGGGATACAATAAACGCTTCGATGCCGCTGCCGTGCCGCTTTGGGATGGGGATGGTGAGAAGGGGGGTGAGGGTTGAGGGATGAGATGGGGAGGTTTGGGAACTACATGGTACTTTTTCTTGGGCGGTTGGATATGGAGAGGGAGAGTGAGGGCGAGGGCGAGGGCGAGGGCGAGGGTGAGGGTGAGGGTGAGAGTGAGATCTGAGATTTGAGAGAAGCATAAAGGAGGTGCATTATTGAAAGATAGAAATATCTCTGTCGATAGGTAGGTAGGGAGGTAGGTATTCAGACGACGAGATGGGTATCAAAAGATGGTGTGCATAAAAATCATTTGTATCTAGCTCTCTTTGTGATGATGTGATCTTCTCTCTAGGTACGCTTTTGGGGAGTAACTGTTCGCTAAGGAGATACAAGATTGATAAATAGTGTTCACTAGTTGCGTCTATGAATAGAATCATTATTGCGATGTACACGATATCCTCTGGAGACTTCGTATCACTAGGGATTTGGTCTTTGGTATTTAGGATTTGCGACCACACCGACATAACGTAGATAAACTTCGGGAGTTTGAATTTATTTATTTATTTTTTTCTTCTTCTTTTCTACTCCTCTTTTTTTCTTTCTGGGAGATGTTCGAGATTAGATGGATGGATGAAGAAACAAGGCAGTGAAGAGGGCAGTGAAAAGGGAATCCCCAAATCTCCCACGTCCTTCCCAGATTCCCCGGTCCGGACCAAGTGGGAAACATCTCATTTTAAAATTTGGCCTTGTTGTCAGTCAGGTCCCATGCACGTTTTGATGGATGTTGTTCGGTGGAGTCTTAACTGTTGGTACAAATGTACAAGCAGGTAACGATATGGTAAATTGAAGCACACATGCACACCTTGACGAGAACGGGCCGCGCATCTCATTGGCTACATTGCAGATTAGAAGTGATTTTTTGTCCCTTTTTGTCCCTTTTTCCTGATGATGCCCTTGACTCCACCCGCGCTCCCGACACCAATCACGCACGATTCACGACCGTTTTTGTTTAAATGAATTGGACAAATGCGTTCTAGACGAGGAACAGAGGGATCCACTGTTATGGGTGGATGGGTGGATGGGTGGATGGGTGTGGATCTCTTCAAAGCAGGTACGAACTGCAGTCTGCAGTCTGCCATCCAAGTCAAGTCAAGTCTCTTCCCGTATGTACAAATTGCACGCTTCAATGTTCCCGTTTTTATCCAAAGTAACTTTAAGCACGCAAGCAGGCATGGAGGGAAGCATGCAACTTGATGCAAGCATTCATTCAAGCATTCAAGCATTCGAGCAGTCAATCAAGCAAGTTTCTGAGCCGGCCGGTCTACCTAATTCTAGATAATTTGTGATTCTCCGTTCTTTTTTTATGAAGGGAATAGGGTGGAAGTGACTTACTTGACTTGCTTGACTTGACTTGAATTGAATTGACTTTGGAGACTTGGGATGACATGGGATGAGATGGATTGTTACTAAGAAAGGAAGGTTCAAAAGAGTGAGTTCCTCCGTAGTATTGGTAATGATTGTTCATGTCGGGGTTTGGTGGTTACTGGGTACCTAGGTAGGTAGATGATAGATAATAGATAGTTACGGAGGACTAAAGGAAAGAAAAAACGAGGCTTATACACTTTTACATTTATTTACACTTATTTATCTAGTATCTACCGACTTTTACACTTATTATTATTATTATTATTATTATTATTATCATTATTCACGGATTACACTGATTACACTTATTTATTATATTTACGCTTGCACAATTTCTCTTTTCCGTCTTTCATCTTTCATCTTTCCCCTTCCCTCCTTTCCTCTTCTTTTCTAATTCTAATTCCTTTACCTTACCTCACCTTCTTTATCCTCCACCACCACCTCAACCTCAACCTTCCTTCCATCTCTCTTCATAATACAACTGGAAGAAAGTTTCGACAATTCTTCCTCAAAGCCTTTAACAACAAGAGACAAGACAACAACAAATAAACGCTCCTTCCTTCGGGATATCCACATTCTTTTTGAACAACAACTACCTCCATACACTCACTCCTTCATAGGTTTTAATCAACTTCACTCTTTTTAGTTGATTTTAACCGTCCATTCTTTCGAAAGGTCCAGCCCAAATTCAGTTCTGGAAGAGATCAATAGATTAAAAATCTTAGGAGATTCAGCGAATATCACTCCAATCATTCATTCATTACCTTGGTAGCAGTTGATTGTTGCTCTTGTCTTGTTTGGAACTTCTTACTCTTTGTGTAAGTTGTTCATCTTCTTTTCTGGTGGTGGTTATAAGTGTTGTTGTTGTGAGGTGGTGTGGTGAATTGAGGAGGATCGAGGTGTGCGACATGCATATTATCCTGTCGCAAATTCGAGTATCTACACACATGGGGATTGGACCTTGGAGATTCAATAAAGATGAAAAGCTTCAATCTATCTTGACCCATTCAATCCAATAACAAGGACTAACATAATCCTGCGATATAGCTATAGCCATAATCAACGTCAATACCTTCTCCGATTTTTGCTATTGTGTGCATGACATCGATACCCAATTACGACCCATTAAACGACAACTCGACGCAATAATATTTACCATACCATTCACTCATTTATATGATCATGGATTCGATATCAATGCTCAAAACTAGATCTATTCTCCGCGTCCGTGACGACTCTTCAACTACCACCATGTCAAACTCAATGGTTGATCTTCTTATTGCCTTGATGATCTTGGTATTTATCGGGCTTTGTTTAACAGGGGCCTTATACATTGTGCGCAAGCTTCGACGTAACAGAGCCGTTGCTCGTCAGCAATTGCCTTTACATAACGAGCAAACAAGATCGAATCACCGCCGATTGACTATTACGGCTACTCCCTATGGTGGCCGCGGCTCCACCATTCACGTCTATGACGAAAAATCATCCATGATGGACTCCGACCGTGCACCACTCTCACCTGAAGACGTTCCTGAAATTCGCATCACTTTCCCCGATGAGCATGATGAATCTACTGGACACAAGAGAAGCGGTCGTGTCGTTGTTGTTCGTGTCGGAGAAACCGGTGTTGGCCTTGAGCCTTTGAAGGATCAGGATCAACTACCCGCTTACGAAAAGGAAACCGGAGGAACCAGATTTCAATCCATCGATATGGATCGCATCGGTGGCTTGAAGGAGAAGGAGAGCTGGTCATAAATCTTCTGATGACTTTGCTGTCTTTTCTTTCTGTCTGGACCTAACTCCCAAAATCACATGAACATACGGAGGATCCTCATACATTCATCTTGCATATAAAATTCCTTTCCACCTTCAAGGTTTCGTCATCACGCAATGATGTAAATGATATCGTCTTCTCGAACTCTATTCAGTTACATAATAACATCAAAATTTTCTCTTTCGAACCGGCTCATCGACAATTGTTTTCCCCAGTACCCCAATCAACTTTATGAACGGCAAAGCAAGGTGTTATCAAGGCAGGATTTAGGGCAACTGGCGTCGTTCGTACATGTACCTCGATACCCTTCTCGTTAGAATTCGTGGTGGACCAATTTCTTCTTGTAGGTTGGAGCTGGAAAGGAAAGAGGAAATATTCATACAACCTACCTACCCTACCTATTTTTCGAGGTAAGGGAGTGGAACATAAAGAAACCTCTTTCTCGAACAAACTAAAAGATCAAGATCAAGATAATTGTACTTAATGTATTCTACGTAATTTTCTTTAAATTATGAGAGCGCCTGTTCATTTAAATGGCTTTTGTTCTTTGTTTTTTCCTTTCTGATTTTCCTTTTTCATCTTTTTTCTTTTCTTTTCAATCTTTTTTCATTCTCATTTTTGTCTGCCTATCTACTTCTTGGGAAGTGAAGAAAAGGCAGGTTCACAAAGTTACGGATATATGTGGAAATAAGACCACATACACACACAGAGAGAGAGAAATTACCTACTTAAGGACTTAACTTTTTACAGTTTATGATGAGATTAATGAATGATCTTAATGTTTTTTATTGAAATCTTTGATATGTGTTTTTTGTGAATTTGGATGTGAAACTGTGTTTGGAAGTTGAAAATTTAATGGGATGGGAATTGCATTTAGATGTGAATTTAGATGTGAAAATGAATGTGAATCTAGATGTGAAATTGTGTTTCGGAGGTGAATCTAGATGTATAGGTAGGTAGGTAGATAGGTATGTAAATCTAGACATATGTGTGTGCATGTATATGCATCTGACAGATGTCAAACAGCCGATCGAAGAGACACGTAGATAGACGGTGAATCAGATAGATGAATCAGATAGGTGAATACGGAGTAGATGCTCGTATCATTTAAATTGGATTGGATGGGATTGGATTAACACGAAACTTGGAGTTGGGAATTGGGAATTCCAAGGTTGGTATGGGTAGAGAGGGGGTAGAGTAGGGTAGGGTAGGGTAGATCAGATGAGGGTAGATGAGATGAGATGAGATGAGATGAGATGAGATGAGATGAGATGAAACGAAACAAAACGAGGTGGAGTGGAGTAGAGTAGAGTGGCTGGGAGGGGAGGGGAGGGAAGGAGGAGGGGAGGAAAAGGGAGGAAAAGGAGATTGGAATGCGGGTTTGGATGGTTTGGATGATGTTTTGAGTTTTGAGCTTCGGGAGTTGTATGGGAGAAGAGGAGAGAGGGGTTGAGATTTTGGGTTTGGGTTTGGGTTTGGATTTGGATTTGATGCTATGAATAGATTAGTGGGTTTGTGGATTTGTGTGTCTTTGTTTGATGCGAGATGGGGTGGGATAAGATGGGTGGAGTGGAGTGGAGTGGAGTGGAGTGGGGTAGATGAGGGTTTGGGAATGTCTTGGATGGGTAGATGGGTAGATAGGTAGAGTGTGGAGGGTGGGATTTTGAGGGCTGGGAGAGTTGAGAATATTGAGAGAGTGTAGAAGATAAGATGTATGTTTTTTGGGTGGTTGGATGGATGAATGGATGTGTTGGAGGGCTGGGCGGTTTTGAATGTTTGGTAGGGGTGAAAGAGTTCGGTGGCTTTGGGGATTCGAGAATTTCCAATGGGGGGTTGGAAAGGTTGAGAGGTTGAGGGGTTTTAAAGGGTTGGTTTGGATCGGTGGGGAGGGATGAGGATGGAGATGGAGATGGGGATGGGGATGGGGATGGTATGTGCTTTTGTTAATCTTCTTTTGGGGCCAGAGGGATTGTGATGAGTGGTTTTCTTCTTTCTGGGGGGAGGGGAGGGATGGGAATTGAGGAGAGGGAGTGGAGGGAGTGGAGGGACTGTGGGGGAGGAGAAGAGTGGAAGAGGAAAAGAAGGAGGAGGGTAGGGAAGAGAGGAGGGAAAGAGGGAAAGAGGGTGGGGGGTGGGGGTGGGGGTAGGAGTGAGGGGAGAGATAATGAATAGTATATTCGAGGTGTACTTGAGAGAACAAGGGAGGTGTGTGAAGTGATGAGTAGTGAGTGGATAGGGGAGATTTAAGATATGAGAGTAATGAGTGGTGAGTGGTGAGTACATGCGAAGTAGACGAAGAACATGGGAGGTTTGGAGTTGTGAAGAATGTGAATGCGTATGTGTTTGTGGAGACACATATGTAGGTTGTTCGAGAAGTAGGAGATTGAATTGGGTTGTTTATGGGTAAGTAATAATCACTCGTATTGATGGCGAAATCTTCTTCGTGAATTTTTTGCGATTTGTCTGAGTTTGGGATGGGGACCGGGTTGTGATGGGCTGGGAACGTGTGTAAATTCAATCACATATCAGTGTGTACATACGTACTCCTTTCTTTCTCCTCTCTCCTTTCTGTTCTCTTTGAACTTCCACCTCTTCTCTCTTAATTGTACATAGATCTTGCGATATTTTTCTTCAATTCCCCCATGGGGGTTTGTCTTTTGTCTCCCATGCTTGTGGCTTGGGATTGAGTGGGGGATTATGGTTTCATTGATTGCCGGACTATAAGATGGGTTATGGAGATGGATTGTAAATTGGATTGTAAAGGTGTGGAAGGGGATGGATGAAGAATTGATTAAAAAGATGATGAAGAGTTGATGGGGAATTGATTAGGGAGTTAATAGGGAGTGATAGGAGGTTTTCTGTGGAGATAGGTTGGGGGAGAGCGAGGGTGTATTTGGTGGTAGGTATGTTGAGAGGGGTTATACTTTGGAAGAGATGTACATTGAAGTGGGGTTTGTGTTGAGAAGAATGAATTTCGAGAGAGAATAAGAGGGTATATAACTAAAGTGGTACATTGGTCTCTGATCGGCAGGCATATTAGTAAATAAGGAAGCATGAATAGGTTGAAGAATTTGAAAGAGGTGAGTAGTATGCATTGATGACTTATCAAGATTTACCCACAGATTGGAACCCGCTCACCCAAATATCAACTTCTACCGGGTGCTTCACGTAATGCATTCGCTATACATATCCTTGCTCACACGGTCTGAAGGTGTCAGCTGCTCCATCCCAACATCCCCCATGGATACACAATACCAAAAATTCCCCGAATAATTCCACGGCAACTTTGAGATATCCCTTGTAATACTCATCCTCATAGTACTCATCTTCACAATCTTTTGGCGGCCAGTATCGTGTGTCTACAACATAGACGAATGGGATTTCGCCTTTCGCTGGTCCTTCCAGAACGGATGCAATGACCTCCTCGTTGACTAGGAGGAAAAAAGCATGGGTTGGGTTCAAGTCAGGGTCCGTGTTGTAAGGTGGATCGCTATCTCCAATACCAGGAACATCTGCAAACTTGCTTCACAATAGTCAGCGTCTGTATTGTGGGATCCAACGCATCCGGCCTGGCGAAACAGCGAAAATCATACCGGTTCAAAGTGAGCATATCTGCACCCTCCTCCGCCTCAAACCACCACAACTTCCACAAAAACCTGGCGCCATCTGGATCCACACCGTGTTTTGCTTGTGCTTCCCACTTCTTCAGAATTAGCGTATCAAACCTCTGTCTAAATAGATTCCAGCGAGTGGAGTCGCATGCATTGTAACATGTACGGTAGGCTACTGAGCCAGTGCAATTGACAGGAAACAATGAAGTAGATTGTCCTCCAACCACTTCTTTGATCAATTTTACCCAGTGTCCATCGTATTCGAGATTTGGGCCTGAATCATGCGTAGGGGCGGGATAGGCTATGCTGAACGTGGTGGGCTTCTGCGGGAGCAGTTGCGGTGAGGTTGAATATAGAAGCCTGTTCAGAACACGATGGGAATGATGGTGATCGAGATTGCAAGATGATTGAGGCAATATTAGCGCTCGGCGGGAGAGCACTGCTTGGAGAGCGCGACGCATTCTTGAGGTAAAGAAAGGCTGTGCAGTCATGGTCAAGGCCTGCATCAATAATAATAAAAGGCAAAGGTAAGAGAGGTATCATCCTAGAAATTCACTTGAACAGGGTTCAATAGGTTAATCAGAAAGTGAATATACTTTTCTGGACTATTGGCATGGTAACAACAGCCAGCAACTCTCAACTTGATTGGTGCTTTTGAGCTTTCGTCTCATTTCTAAGCCATCTCTTCCCATCGTTCTTTCGAAATATTTCCTACTTCCATGGTCACTTAATCCCTATGGAATTTTTCCTTTCGTTGACTTTATGGTCGCGCATCACATTCAAAGATAGTCTTACCATCAAATGTACATTGAGTACTCCATTGATGGCGTCCTAAAAAGAGAGTAGGTAGTTGCACAAAAATTACGGTGACCATAACCGATATCCCTACTACGTGCACGACCCTACTATATGCACACTTTTTTTATATCAAAACAAAAATCAATTTAAAATTTAAAAATAATTATAATAATATAAAATTTAATTCAATAATTAATTAATATTATCAATTTCAATTTATAAGGATTTCGAATTATTAAATTAAGAATTGATTGAATAATTAAATAAAGAGAATATAGAATCTTGATATATAATTTCTTAATAAATAATATATTAGAATCTATTTATAGAATTATAATAAATTTTTATAGATTTTTTGATATTAATAATATTATAAAAAAATCAAAAAAATCAAAAAAGTAAAAAGAATTAAATTTAATATAGATTCTTAGATTTTTCTAATGATTTATAATATTTTTAGAAAAGTTAAAAATATTTTTTAAAATGAATTTAAATTTTATATTTAATATTAAAGATTTAAAAAGTAGTTTTTAAAAAAAGGATTATATTAAATATTAAAATATATAGAGTTTTGATTAATAAAAGAAAATTATTTAAAAAATATCTTTTATTTTTGAAATTTTATTTTAAAATTATCTAAATCTTAATTCTATATATATAATAAGATTCTAATTATATAAAAATTCTTTTTAAAATAAAATTCTTTAAAAAGAATTTTTTTTTCAATTCAAAATATTATTAATTCATTTTAAAAATTTTTTTTTAAATAAAAATTGATTTAATATTAATTAATAATTTAATTTTCGAAATTTAAATTTTTTTATTAAATCAAAATCTGATCAATATAGTTTCATTCTTTATAATTGATTAAAAACTATATAACAAAAAAGTTTAAGATTGAAATTTCTTAAAAAAATTAATAAATACTTATATTATATTTATTATTAGATTAAATCAAATTCCTAATAAGTTTTTATAAATCTTTATTTAAATTTAATATTAATAAATTATAGATTTTAATATATTTATATTTTTTTTAAAGATTATTATTATTATATAACTTAAAAATAGAATAAAATATTATAAATTCATTATTCTATTAATAATTAATTATTAAAATATTTTTTATAAAATATATTAGAATTTAATATTAATATAATTTCAAATTTTCGATAAAAAACTTTAGTTTTTTTCAAATATCTTATATTATAATATATAGAACTTCATAATTTCATTAAAAAAAACTTATATTTTTAATTATATTATAAAATATATTAATAAATAAATAATTTTTTTTATAAAAATTAATATCTTATTTATCATTATTATTATTATAATTTTTGAGATTTTTAATTTTTTTATTTCAAAATATTATATAAGTTTATTTCAATTATCTCAATTTTGAATTTCAAATTATAATATCGCTTTTTCAATTTTTAATTCAATTTTCTATATAAATAATAAAAGTGTGCACATAGTAGGGTCGTGCACGTAGCAGGGATATCGGTTAATCGAGAGATTGACGAGCCAAGTAGCTTTGTTTTGGTTACCGTACTGCACTGCCTCTCTCGAGCCTCTCTCTCCCACATTGGTCGACGTGACAAACCCAGACCGTCGAATTCTAATTCTCTTATTGTATTATCATCTGAAGCTTCTATGTGGTTCAATGTCACTCAGCTTTCAAATCCCGATGCCAATAATGCCGGCAATGGGAGAGTCCGAATCACCTCGTGTGTCCACACCTTGGCTAAATAAGGTATGTATGGAGTTTTCCCCGGTTATGTTGACAGCCACGCTTGGCAATCGATCATCCGAAAATTGAGTTCATCATGAAGTTGACATGTCACATCAAAACATTGTTCCGCCGTGGAATGCAGGAACCCATTTCGCTACCGACACGATGAGATTCACCAACATCACTCTTCACATACCCATCCATCTGGTAAACTGGGGTACGCTTTCAATATTTCAGTCGCTTTACCCCAGTTAAAAGCGGTCTAATTGAAGCTTAAATTTGCTTAAATTTGCTTAAATTTGCTGACCCTGCTTACTACAAACCAAATTAAACGAATACGGCATCTCATGCATATGAAAACATCGCTAAGTTGGCGATTAGTGCTTCGCGAAGCTGTTGAGTTTAAGCTTGTAGGTTCTAGATTGCAAGTCGAGTTATGATCCCGGAGAACTTCTTCCCGTTTTTCTCTGGTCCACAGCTTGGCCTGCTTGATCTTCGAGTTTCTACAAAAGCCCTTGGTGACACTGTAACATCATCCGGATGTCACAGAGGACAATCTCTATCTGCAAATTCTTGACGCATGCTTCTGCGTTCGTCGGTACCTTCATTCTTCGTTCCTAATACAAATAATGGTTCATCAAAGACATGTTTGGGGAAGGCCACGCGGTTATGTTATCTCTTAGTTCGCTTCTTATGCTCTTGCCAAGAGAGGCTGTGTGGTTGTCTTGACATCTCACTTACTTTTAAGTTTCGTCATACAATCCCGTCTTGATATGTCACTTATCTTTAAGTTCAGCCAGATTACCCCTCACCGGAGTAGTCTTGATTAACGCTACGTGAGGAGGTCGTGCTAACGAGCATATAAACCGTTATACTTCCTTCATTGTCTCATTAATTTTGTCCTGTTCCGTAAATCAACTACACATAAATTCAATAATGTTTCTTTTGCGCTTTTTGGCTGGTGCTATTCTGGCTTGTGAGTGATATTTCCCCTGCTTCTACAGTCACCACTAATCGATTAGCATCGATGATATCCGCTCAGAATGTCTCCTACTGCACGGGTGAGGTATGCTTTGCCGTGAACATACCAGCCTCGACTGCTTCGAGTGGCTCAGGAGATATATATATACAGATGAGTGGACCAGATACAATGTCTTGGATAGGTATTGGACAAGGATCCGCTATGAGTGGTGCCAACATTTTTGTAATGTACGCCGATTCGACTGGGAGCAATGTCACAATCAGCCCTAGGCTCGGTATTGGGCATGTAGAGCCAAATTCCGACACTTCTGCTCAGGTCACTTTACTGGATGGTTCTGGTATAATAAATGGTCAAATGATAGCCAATTTTAGATGTATGTTTAGAATCAAAACTATCTGGCACCTATTCTAACCATTCGGGCAGGTTCAAATTGTGATAGATGGAGCGGCGGATCTATGAGCTTCACTGATTCTTCCTCAGCGTGGATTTGGGCCCATAAGACCGGCGCTGCATTATCATCCAACAGTGTTGATGCAGATATCGATTTTCATGACGCATACGGAGTAGCCAGTTTGAATTTACAGACAGCCACGGGCGGGGCAAGCACAAACCCATTTTTGACGGCTGGATCCGTTTCTACGCCTAGCCAAACATCTTCTGGCGCCAGTGACGCTGCAATTGGGCCATCTGACATATCGAGAGTGACCATTGCACATGGCGTTTTGGGTTCCCTTGCCTACGTCATTCTCCTCCCTTCGGGTGCGATCGCGATTAGGATCCTTAATTTCCGTAATTTGCTATGGCTTCATGCCGGCTGGATGGTTGGCGCTTATTTAATCGTACTTGCGTCACTGGGAATGGGGGTATGGATTGCACACATGTCTAATCTTCTCGGCAGCGCCCACTCAATAATCGGCCTTGTTGTGGCCGGATGCTTATTACTTCAGCCTATCACTGGATTGATACACCACATGTTATATAAGCGTCGTGGTGGTCCCAATGTTGCAACTTATCCCCATGTTTGGTGGGGTCGTGCGGTTATTACTCTTGGTATTATCAACGGTGGTTTGGGTCTGAGGTTAGCTGACAATAGTAAAAAGGGTGAGATCGCATACGGCGTGATCGCAGGTTTTGTGTGGGTTCTTTGGGTAGCAGTCATTCTTTTTGCAACAGTGAAAATCAGAGAGCGTCGTGGCAGTGGTATGGATGTATCTGGAGCCTCGGTAATCAGGGATAAGTCAAGCACTGAAGGATCCTACTTCCACGATAACTCGCCGCCTCCTCAATCTATGCAGGAAGCACATGATCTTGCTAGATTACCTACATCTCATCGTACTTAAGCCTCATGAAATTTTTTCATGCATTAAATTGGGACGGGAATATATGATAGAAGCCAGGAAGCCTGTCTAGTCGGGCTGGATGCTAGTAACACAGGATGGGCTGGGGGGGGCGCTTGTTTTCATATTGTTTAGCGAATATTCTTCATCTTCGTCTTGGACATGGGTATTTGACACAGTTAGATTTTACTACATTAATTCCATTGGTTCTACCACTTAAAGTTTTGATTCTCCTTAATACCTTCAAATCGTAACGAAATTTCAAAAATTCTCACGTGGTAAAGACTGGGAGTTGAGTTTCGCTACGGCCGATTACATAATGACACTACATCCTAGCATCTTAGAGACTTGTGATTCCCAATCGATATTGCTCTCTCGCAAACTATAATTCTTCTCTTCAGATCACCAATTTCATTATGGGAGTAGGACGTGTGCTCGTCATTGCGGGTTCTGATAGTTCCGGTGGAGCGTTAGTATTCCGGCACCCTCTCCTTCCGCATTTCTACCCCGCCACAGACTAACGGTTCTCATCTCAGCGGAATCGAAGCCGACCAGAAAGTGATTGCTGCTCATGGATGCTATGCTATGACTGCTACAACAGCCTTGACGGCTCAAAACACTCTGGGTGTTGAAGATATTCATTATGTTCCGGCCGAGTTTGTCGGGAAGTTGATTGATGTGTCGGTTGGGGATGTGGGGGTTGATGTAGTGAAAACTGGTAAATTGCCTGATACATACATCTGAATTGTCGAGGAGATGATCATGATTCCGGATATCCTAGATACTAACGATATGTTAAGGTATGCTAGCATCTGGAGAAACAATAGAAGTGGTGGCAAAAGCATTAAAAAGACATCACGTGAAAACTTTGATCGTTGATCCTGTGCGTTCATTTTCCCAAAAACGATGTGCAAGTTGTCTGACTTCCAAAAGGTGATGGTCTCTACAAGCGGATCACAGCTTTTGCCTTCTACAGCAATCTGCCAGTTACGAGAACTTCTGTTTCCCTATACCACTGTTCTCACACCCAATGTGCCTGAAGCGCAACTACTCCTTTCCGATGCTGGTAAATCTGTCGGAGAACCTAAGAACTTGGATGACTTGAAAGAGATAGCGAAATTAGTACAATCACTAGGCCCGAAATATGTACTAGTGAAAGGAGGTCATCTGCCTTTACAGAAAGATGGAACAGTAGCGACTAAGGAGGAAGAAAAAGAACTCATGGTTGATATTTTGTACGGCGAGGGAGTCATCACAGAAATCCGGACTAGTTATCAGAAATCGCGGAATACCCATGGAACGGGATGTTCGATGGCCTGTGAGTTTATCCATGTACACCTGGTGAAACAGAAGCTAAATGGGAGTAGCCGCCATTGCTTCGAACATTGCGAATGGACTACCCGTGATACAAGCTGTGAGAAGTGCTTGTCGATACATTGAAGCAGGAATACGAACAGCGCCGGATCTGGGCAAGGGTAATGGTCCGATTAATCATTTCCATTCGACTTACACCTTACCTTTCGCTCCGTAAGTCTCTATTCCCAAGTGATGCTAAGTTCCTCAATTGATCATTGCAGGGGTCACTTTGTGGAATACCTTCTGGAAAGGCCGGATGTTAAAGGAGCGTGGCGAGACCATACTGAACATGCATTTGTCAAAGGACTTGGAGACGGGACCTTACCACTGGAGTCATTCAAGTACTACCTCATTCAAGACTATCTTTATCTTGTCTGTCAAAGCACTGAAACTTTTATCTATCCGGTCTAACAAGTTACAGGTGCAATTTGCTAGGGCTACTGCTTTAGCTTCATACAAAGCCAAAACTATGGAAGGCATTGCTGCAGTATGATATAGATCCTTCCTGAAGATGGCGTGTGTGCTAACTCTTAATACAGTCTGCAGGTATTGTACTTCATATTCATCGGGAGATGGCGCTGCATATCAGTTATTGTGAGGGTTTTGGTATGACAAAAGGAGAGATAGAAGCCTGCGAAGAGAGCCAAGGTAAGCTTCTTCACGTTGACACATCGAATTAATTCTGACAGTACCGAAATAGCATGCACAGCATACACAAGGTACATGGATATCTCTCCCTTGATAGCAATGATATACTAAAAAGTGATAGGTATGTTCTTGATATCGGACAATCTGAGGACTGGTTGGCTCTTCAAATATCCATGGCGCCTTGTCTTATCGGCTACGGGGAGATAGCAAAACGATTACATGCAGACCCAAAGACAAAACGGGAAGGAAATATCTATTGGAAATGGATAGAAAATTACGTTGCAGATGATTATACGGAAGCAGTGAAAGTTGGATCAGGTATGTGACAAAATAACCCTACAACTCATGGGGATTGGACAGTATTGACCATTTGGGCAGCTTTGCTTGAAAAGCATGCTCTGCTGCAGTCACCCAATAGGATAGAGGAATTGGTCAAAATATTTGTTCATGCAACAAAGGTACGCATCTTTTAACTAGTTGGATTACCTTTTTCAGAGATCGAAAAGCTGCGTACTTCCATACGCATCCCTTGACCTGGAATCTGTCTGCGTTGTGATATGGGGTAGCAAACACACCTAGACAACGGACAGAAGAGGAATACCCACCGTGCAGCACAGAGAAAGCCTTAGAAACAATACAGAGGCGACAGAGGTACACATATAACATTTACTAATTGCCTGACAGATGGAGACGGGATTCTGGGACATGGGTGGCGGTGGAGGGAAAAATTGAAATGTAGAATCTTCAAGGTACAGTACCGGGTCCGCAGTAGGTAGCTTTAAGGTACGTACAAAGTACGGAGTAGTAGATAATAACGACGGTTAAATAGATTTCAGACGTGGATGTACCCAGTAAGAGGGATAGAGAAAGAAAAATTGCATTCAGAGATTTACAGTATTTTGGAACAATCTGATTGTTTTGATTGGCTGAAAGAAGAAGAAAAATTCAATTGGAGACAAGATCTTATTTCAGGGTCCAAGAACAAGAAAAAAATGGATAACGCTAAATCTTGAATGGGCTTAGTCACTCATATCTCACACTAATCCCTAAATAATATAGTGTACTTTTAGTTTCCTTTCTACTTTTTTTTACTCAAACCTCTTCTTTCTCACCTTCCATTACTTTTTGATTTCTTCTCATCAACAACAATAATTTCATCTGCGAGACTTCTTCTCATCAACCCAAGAAGTCATTTTTGCAGTAATCATCAAAGCGATTTTCAAATTACCATCATAAATTCACACACTCTTTCAATTTCTCACTCTCAAAAACTATCGCAAATATGTCATATGGAGGAGGATATGGTGGCGGCGGCCGTGGTGGCGGTAACGGGTACGGCAATGGAGCTTCCTCATATGGCAGAGGCAACTCTTACTCCAATGGATATTCGAATGGGTATGCAAAAACCTATGAGTTTAGATATTGTTGATAAGTTTTCGCGCATCGCGTTACATTGTGTTGAGTGTGTGGGAGATAAGGCTAAGGCTAGCGTTTCGCTTTGGAGCCGAAGCCTAATCTCTCATTGCGATCACAACGTAGCACCATTTTATTTCATTCATTCCTTCCGACTTGCTGATATATACTGACGTGTAATTTCTAGGGGATCTAATGGATACTCTGGAGGCGGTGGAGGTGGTTACGGAGGTGGCAGAGGTATGCAAACAAATTTTCACTAGATTAGAATCATCACTAACAATTTTCACAGGCGGCGGAGGTGGTGGCGGAAACGTCAACGGCTACTCTGGAGGAGGTGGTGGTGGATACGGAGGAGGTGGTGGATATGGCGGTGGTGGTGCTGGCGGTGACCGCATGAACAACCTTGGTGCTAACCTCCAAAAGCAAAACTGGGGTAAGTTCGAAAGGATGCTGAATATTCCGCAAAATAGAATGCTAACTTCCATACGCAGATCTTAACACCATGCCAAAGTTCGAGAAGTCTTTCTACAAGGAGGATCCAGTTGTTGCTGCTCGTTCAGAAGAAGATGTTGCCAAATTCAGAGCTCAGCACAACATTGCCGTTCAAGGCCCAAATATTCCAAAACCTGTCGAGACCTTCGATGAGGCTGGTTTCCCCGCATATGTCATGACCGAGGTCAAAGCCCAAGGTTTCCCAGCCCCTACTCCAATTCAATCTCAAGGTTGGCCTATGGCTCTCTCCGGACGTGATGTTGTTGGTATTGCCGAGACTGGTTCCGGAAAGACCCTCACATACTGTCTTCCAGCTATCGTACACATCAACGCACAACCACTTCTCGCTCCTGGTGACGGCCCAATTGTCTTGGTCCTAGCCCCTACCCGTGAGTTGGCTGTTCAAATTCAACAAGAAATCACCAAGTTCGGAAAGTCTTCCCGTATTCGCAACACTTGCGTTTACGGAGGTGTCCCTAAGGGTGGTCAAATTCGTGATCTCGCCAAGGGTGTTGAGGTCTGTATTGCCACTCCTGGTCGTCTCATTGATATGATCGAGTCTGGCAAGACTAACCTTCGTCGTGTTACATACCTTGTTCTCGACGAGGCTGATCGTATGTTGGACATGGGTTTCGAGCCACAAATCCGTAAGATTCTCGGACAGATCAGACCGGATAGACAAACTTGCATGTGGTCTGCTACCTGGCCAAAGGAAGTTAGAGCCCTTGCCTCTGATTACTTGAATGAATTCATCCAAGTCAACATTGGCTCCTTGGAGCTCTCTGCTAACCACAGAATTACTCAAATCGTCGAAGTTGTTTCTGAATTCGAGAAGCGCGATAAGATGACCAAACATTTGGAAAAGATTATGGAAGATAAGGACAACAAGATTTTGATCTTCACAGGAACCAAGCGTGTTGCTGACGATATTACCCGCTTCCTTAGACAAGATGGATGGCCCGCGCTCTGTAAGTACTATTGTGAACTTCTATGTGGACATTACTAACAGAATCTAAGCTATCCACGGTGACAAGCAACAAAACGAGCGTGATTGGGTATTGAATGAATTTAAGACTGGCAAGAGCCCGATCATGGTTGCTACTGATGTAGCTTCGCGTGGTATTGGTATGATTAAAACCCCCTTCCCCCTCACAGCAACGTTCAGTAGCCTTTTTAGTGGTGCTTTACTCTCAACGCTTCGGCGCTTCCTAGATTGCGTTATATTGCCCGGGCCCTATCGTGTCTTTCGGTTCTCTAATTCTAGGGTGTCTTGGATCCTTAAGTGTAGCACAACCGTGCTGCGCTCGTAATTCCAAACTCGACAGTACTTTAACAGGTACCAGATATGGAATTGGCATTTCTTGACTTGATCAAGCTGTCTCCAAGACTCCCATTCCAGAGAGCCTGGATGTGTTGGATCACCTACCCTGGCATAAGCCGCATTGGACAGTTTCATGCCAGTCGCCGAGAGAGTATTGGATGCAGTCAAATGCAGCTTCTTCATGAGCCGCCCTGGACCGTTGCTATACCATTTTTTCTATTCTTGCTAACCCATCAATGAAGATGTCCGAAACATTACCCATGTGTTCAACTATGACTACCCTAACAATTCGGAGGATTATATCCATCGTATTGGTCGTACAGGTCGTGCTGGACAGAAGGGAACCGCAATCACTCTCTTCACCACTGACAGTATGTCTCCCGTCCGCCTTGAGGTTTACATTGGCTAACAACATACCCTAGATCAAAAGCAGGCTCGTGATCTCGTGAACGTTCTCACTGAAGCTAAGCAGGTCATTGATCCTCGCCTTGCTGAGATGACCAGATATGGAGGTGGTGGCGGAGGTAGAGGTTATGGTGGACGTGGCTACGGCGGTGGTGGCCGTGGACGTGGTGGCGGTGGTAAGTTATTCTGAATCCTCCTACCTTCTTACTCTTCCTTGTTCCATCAAACGATGGGACTAACAGAGCCGTTGGTAGGCAATTTTTCATCTTCTAACGCTGCTCCTTTAGGTGGAGGCAGACGTTGGTAAGATGTCTCATCCCGATCGATCGAAACGGAGTTATAACAACCACGACTATCGATAACCATCCTTGATGACAACGAAAACACGTATATTCATCCCATAGTCGTTTTGGCGTTTTGGTTCTCTTAAAAAGGGTAGGGAGGGGTAGAATTGTCTTACGTGATTTCTGCGCACCCTTTCAAAAATTCTTCTGTAATCTGACCTTTCTTTCTCTTTTATTTTACGAAAAAACTGGGTGGCATTGCCATGAATTAGACTGAGGGTTGGGGCTCGATGGATGGTGCTATAGATTGCTTCACATTTCCATGTCCATCTGACGAAGAGATGAAGGCTAGGATTTGTATGTGCTTTTAACTTGCGTTCCTCCTTTCATAACTAGATTGCTCTCTGTAGCTAGTTTTAACTAGAAAACATCTCGTATTAGATTAAAAACAGTATAAAAATATGAGATCACTTTCTTCTCGAACATTGGCGTTTTAGGAGTCCTTCAGTGTATGGATGTTTTTTGTGCTGCTGTTTTTGGGTGTGGAAAGGTTCATCTGCCAACAAAGTGAATTTGGCACAAGTTCTGCGAAAAGTCCACTTGGTGCGCGCACATACATCAAAATTTGATCAAGAGAGCAAGATATGGTATTCTGAATAGTAGAATGGGAGCTAGAGATGAGAGAAGCAAGAGATATTTACTTCTTTTTCCGCGCATACTGTAGTTCCAAGGTTCTACCCACCTCTGCGGTATAGTACCACAATCAACCAATAAACGCAACCTCAGTGGGAGTGGTCGTGCTTGCACTTGTGCTTGTGAGTATGTTAGAAGCTGTAGTAGGCGCAGAAACGCAAACAGAATCCCCAATTATTAGGAGCGTGCAATTTTGAAGTACGGCTGGGTTCCAGGCAAGGAATTGCTCGAACAAAACCCCATATCGAAGCTCAATGCTGGGGCACGTATCACCTGGCTGGACGGTATAGAATTCGCTGCAAGTAGAAACGATGCCCGATTTAGTAGGTGCTGGTGTGTGCTCGCGGCGCTACTCGATGTGCCAACGCAAAAGGATCGAAATGAAGTAGAATTTAACCCCGAATAGAATCCAGAACAATCGGAGTTTTACCCATGGGTTCAAAGCGTAAAACTTTGACAAATCGATGGCATAAAATTTGAGAGTATCATCGCACGTGATGTCTGAAATTACTTTAGCTCTTATCATATGCTGAAAGATGGGAAATATTTACCTTCTATATCGCCGCCGTACATGGACCCATAGGCGTTGCAATTTTTAGCTGTTCCAGGTGGGGCATCCGTGGCGGTAGCAGCGATGAATGGGTTGTAGATGCTTGTAGATGTTGGGACGATGGCTATACTTGTCAGGTCACATTAACACGAAGATAGAACTAACTTACTTGGAGTGGGTTTATATCTTTGAATGCAATAGCGATACCCAGGCGAAAGAGTACAGTTCATGGGATCCTGTGCTGCCAACGATGGATTCCATGACAGGAAGTTTGCCAGTGTGATTTCTTCTATGCCTGCTACCCAGACGTATTCATTGATGCCTTTTTCAATTTCAAGAAATGTAGCATTAGTGGTGTTCAAGGAATAGTATTCACGATACTCGTAACAGGTGGGAATCGTGTCCGAAGCTACAGGGTCCAGCCATTTTATCGTTTTGTTTCCAACAACGGAGGCCCCCTCGCTCCAATACGGTGCACTTGGATAGAGAGTAATATCAATCGGCAGCAAGCAAGTCGAGAGCGGCGATGCTTGGAGGCAAGGATTTGCTGTAATTGTGGCTTTCTGAAATGAAGTATACGTGGATATAGAGCCTACTGCTTCTACGCAGTAGCTTTCGCCGGCTATATGTTTGTGCAGTTGCTGTTGATATTGGGGCTTAATGGGTTAGTACCACGATATTTAAGCTGGCGAGTTAGACAGGGGGTTGACATACTTTAAAAAATAAAAGTCTTCGAGAGGTATGCTTTGTGAATGGATATCGAGGCACAACTATCTCCCGCTTGTATCAAATAGTATTTTGCGCAATAGATGTTTGTACCGTTAGCGATTGTTGCTGGCACAGGCCTATTTCGCAGTTAGCTAAGCATCATTGTTGCAGCGGTGTGCTGTGAGCCTCATTGATATCAATAAGGAAAGAAATTTTACTTACGTGGCAGTCGTCATGGAATTTTGTGAAGTGTCACTGGTAGATGGTTTCCATCCTCCTTTGGGCTTACACATAATTCCGTGCCGTAAAGTTGGTCTAGGTTACCACATGCTTTGTTGATATTTGGATTCCAAGAGCTGAGTTGTGTCAAGGTGATGTCTCCCAGCACAGCGGAAATTATGCTTCGACACGAGTCACCTTTATCGACTGTGTATACATCGCATTGTTTTGGTAAACATACGGATTCTCCAGGAGCTGGGGATTGTTCTCGTACAGCAACCAAAATGTGGATACGTTTTGAGTCCGCGCGATTGAATTGCAATCTTCTCCATTCTTTATAGTATATGAGGTGGCACAAGGAGTTGGCGTGGCTGTGACTGAAGAGATCGATGAGCTGTTGAGGGCGATAGCAGTTGGTGATGTGTAAGGATATCCTGTCTTGCCACAAGATGATGTGGTAGACGCGAAATCGACAGCTGCATCAGAAAAGTACCCGTATGGTGAGCCAAGCTCGAGTTGTCGGATTCCAAGTGCACAATCAGAGCAATCTTGCTCTACTATTCCCGCAGTTGGTGTGGACCATGAGTCAAATACTAAACTGCAAAATTGAGCAGAAGTACTAAGTTTTGTCCGGGAATATTAGCTGATGTGCCTGGGTGTTTAAAAAGGGATTTAAGATGAAGCTTACACATCTCTCCGACATAATATCTCATAATAGTATAAATACCGGTCAGGCCAAGTTGATGCTGGGTATGCCAAATTATCCTCACCCGAAACAAATACATCGGAGAAGGTACAAGCTTTTTTCGTGGATGCTTGGTAAACTTGTAAGGATTCCTTACATGCTGGGATGCAAAGTGATGCCAAAGAATCAGCGTCGAGATATACACCAGGAGTCCAAATCGCTGTCGGAAAGCTATCATTACAAGAAACAGAGCTGTTCAACGCATTGAGACAAAGTGTAGATACACCAGGAAAACTGACATCAACCAATGAGTTATGGAAGACTTGAGCATCATTCATTCCCACGAATAATAACAACAATGACCACCTCACAAGAGATGTTAATCCGACGCAACCTTTGGTTGGAACCATTTTATGAGATATCCAACACTCAGATGTCATAGTGTATGTTGGATAGTTGTCTTGAATGACAGTTTGATGAATGAGATCCTGTCCTTTATCTCTGTGATTGTGCTCAGTACTTATGCTTGTTGATATCATCTGCTCTCTGCTAGCTCCAATGGAGGTTCCCGAGATGAGCTATGGAAACTTTCATTAATTTAAATTTGTTCATGAGTATTTTCAGAAAGCAGCATGCACAATGAATGAATGAGCACGCTAAAAATTCTCACTCTCTTCGTGTAGTAAGACATTTCTGCTCTCTGCCATAATTGTAACTATCACACTGGTAATTTTTCACATTAAAATTCCAGTCTGTTGACAAAAATATCACAGGCTTGTTTTGATCCTTTTCAACAGCGGCTCTCTGGTTTAATCAGCCAATTGTTAGCTGACATGTCTTTTCATGGCCCTCTCAAGTATTATGTTCTCATATTTTACGGGCTACTCGTGTCTATAACCATTCTATATACCTCTTTCTCTCCAGTCTTTGGTGCCCTTTTCTCTGATACTCACACCGAGTCCAATTCTCAAGATCTTTTGTCGCTCTCAGATGTCATCTCAAATGTAGATTTTTCAAGAAGAGATGATTTTTACTAGTATATTCTCTTCCACTGTGTGTTCTCGCTGAAATGAAGACTGATTATGGATCTAGTTCCGTCTCTAAACCTTGTCCGAATGGAGCTTGCTGTGGAGGTGCATTTTAGCCTTTATTCTGCGGCTATGGCAACACATACTGTGGTGATACCTGTGTATCCAACTGCAGTGCTGTGGCAGAATGTGGCAAAGATGCAAAGATAGCTGGGACTACATGTCCATTGAATATCTGTTGTAGTCAGTAAGTTTTAGAATTTCCGGTCGAGTAAATCACATGCTTAACTTTCAAAACAGATATGGTCAGATGGCCGCCGTTTGCATATTTATCAATGTCAAGTACTGACTCTGGTGTCAGGATTTTGCGGTACTTCTTCAGATTTCTGCGATATTTCTTCATGTCAAAGCAACTGTGGTACACCCTTGCTTCCTGATGGAGGAAGTTCATTTGATGTTCGAAATAACGTCATTGGGTATTACGAGTCATGGTAATGTACCTGTGATGTAGTTTTGGTTGTAAGCCCTCACTGACAAATACAGGTCTGCATCCCGTGCCTGTCACCCGTTTCCTCCAAATGCAATTCCAGTCGATGGACTTCGGCGTGTCAATTTTGCCTTTGCCTATATTGACCCGAACACTCTCGAAGTAACAACAATGGACAACACGATCAATGAAGACCTATTTAAGCAAGTCGCAGATGTAAGAAGTTCGACGTCTGGGAATGCTGCCTTGGAAGTATATGTTTCAATCGGGGGTTGGGCTTTTAGCGATGATCAGACTGCTACACAGCCACTATTTCCTAACATTGCTGCGAATGCAGAAAACCGGACACTGTTTGCTCGAAATGTCTTGCAATTTCTAACGACTTATGGGTTCGATGGCGTCGATTTAGACTGGGTAAGATTTGTTCCTTGTTCACAACACTCATAGCTAATTCATGTAGGAATATCCAGGAGCAGAAGATCATGGTGGCAGTGATGCTGATGTGCAAAGCTATCCTCTGCTTGTCAAGCAATTACGAGAAACTTTCGATAATAGCCCAAAAGGAGATAGTCTCGGCATAACCTTTACAATTCCTTCCTCTTACTGGTACCTTCGATGGTTCGATCTTCCGAAAATGTTACCGTATATTACCTCGATTAACATGATGACCTATGATTTACATGGGGTTTGGGATAGTCACAATCACATTGAAAGTAATGTGCAGGCCCACACAAATCTCACGGAGATCAAGCTCGCGATGGAACTTTTATGGAGAAACCATATCCCACCCGAAAAGGTTGTTTTGGGGCTTGAGTTTTATCGCAGAGCTTTCCAACTGTCCAGTACTAACTGCCAGACCCCTGGATGTATGTTTTCTGGTGCATCTGCCAAGGGACCCTGTACTGGAGAGGGAGGAATCTTAGGATATTTTGAGATCCAAGACATTCTCAATGACCCAAATCAGAAAATTGACGTTAAATATAACGAGGCTGCTGCTATCAATTATTTCACTTACAATACCGATCAATGGGTCTCTTATGATAACGAAACAACATTCGCACAAAAAGTTGAATACGCTAACAGCATTGGGTACGTACAAATAAGCTTCAAATTCCTCAGTTGTCAACGATTTTTAACGTATCCACACAGACTTGGAGGGCTTTTGATATGGGCTAGTAAGTATTTGCACTATCCACCCTATAATATATTAACTTTCTATAGTCGACATGGATGACAATAATTTTTCGGCACTCTCTGGATTACTTGGCCGTGACAACCTTGGTTCTATCAGCTCCAAAGCTCTTGAAGACCAGGCTATAGTTGACACTTCAGATTGGGCATCCCAGAACGGCCAGAAATGCTATATGGGTACATGCGGAGGTGGATGTCTTCTTGGAAAGGAGGTCGAGATTAGCCGAGCCAATAGTTGTAAAGGAGGTAAACCAATATGTTGTCCAATTGATGCTGCACCCTCTTGTACTTGGAGAGGGGGAGAGAGTTGACGGAGCTGTCATAGAACTTGCCATACTGGTGAAGTTACTTTGTTCTATGATAAGTAAGTGCAGCTCTTTTATTTAAATTCAATGCCGCTGATACAACCTAGTTATGGAATAGATGGTCCGCAATGCTTCAGTCCGGGGTAAAAGGTGTTTTGCTGTACGACAACGACTTATACAGAGGTAATAAAGTCATGCAAATATGCAAGATGCGGCAAAGATTGTGATACCGGTTATGAATCAGTCGCTAGCAAATATGATCCTTGTAAGTCAACATAGATCTCAATTCTCGGGTCTAGCTTACTAAAATTTTGCAGTGATTTGTGCATTTGATCAGGGAGGTTCAGGACCACAAGACCGAAAGCTTTGCTGTCCGACTAGCCCGAATATTGGCGGATGTCATTGGGTAGGTAAAGGTGGCTGTGACCAGAATAATTGCGATGAGTAAATTTAAACCCCCCCCCCCCCCGTCACACTGAATACAGCTCTAATCACACGTGTAGTAACGATATACAGCTTGACTTAGATGGCTACGGAGATTCTCACAAGCTTTGTTCACTTTCAGGACGTTCCAAATCATTGTGCTGTAATGCTCCGACTAGCGATAGTCCATTTCTCCCCGTGGCACTGGATAGAATATTTCCAACACTACCCGAGAATGTAGATGTACCGAAATGGGACTTGCAAGCCTGGGATTGCCGATGAATATAGGACCCGGTGCAGATGGTGTCAATAATCAAGGATTTGGATTTGTGCTTATTGATGGCCCTAGTAGTGTGGTGACTACTATGAGCAAACGAGATGGCTCGGACTATGTTTTTTTTGGGCTGTCCCGAAGGGAAAAGCCGACAAAAAGCGCGGATTCTCTGTAACTCCAACAGTCACACATCTAACTGTCATGAGTTACTCGAAGGTGGAGTCGATGGAACCATTATCAAGCTACCAGAAAGCTGTGGTCCGGAAACATATGCTGTTGCTCACAGTCTGTCCTTATCGGATAACCAGGAGCTTCCTTTGATCCATACAGGCGCAGCCAACCGGACCGTATCAGATCTGGAAATCAGCTATGACTTTGGTCTTGTTAAAAGGGACGCTGGGGATGTCTATATACGTATTGACTACAGCAATCTCGAAAGTTATTGGAACGCGGGCGTCAACAGTGCTGGCGAGTCGAGAAAAAGATCTACTGATGACATTTCGAAGAGATTTTTTGGTACAAATGCAACATCATGGAAATCTAGTAGGTTAATTATCGTTTCCACTTACAATAGTTCAAAATGCTAATGATCTTAGGATTTGATGATGTTCGAAGTGAAGCATCAGGTGACCTTGACCACACACTTTTCGCTAAAGCCTTCACATCTCCACTATACAGTAGCAGTAAGAGCTATGAAGGTGAGGATGACAACTATGCCTCCATTGGTTTCAGTGGAAATGTCTCATCAAAAGCCAGATTTGGCTACAGTTTTGTTGGTACCATTGTCCCGTTCAATATTGTACAGGCCTATGGTTTCTCAGAGAGCGAGATTGAAGTAATAGCTATGCTTGACATCCAAGTATACGGTGGACTGAAGCTTCCTAATACCCGAGCAAACGTTTTCCCTAGTCCAGTGACCTCCAAGGAATTCAGCGTACCCGGCCTCATTCACATAAAGCCCAGTCTGCAGATTGTCGCAACATTAAATGCTAATATTGAGGTGGCAGCCGACTTTGAGGTATTCTTTAATACATCCACACCGATACCAATCACGCAATACTATCCTTCCTCTTTGGGGACTGCTAATGGTAGCTCTGAAATGCATGCTATGATATTAGGCGATGGATTCTCGGATTCAACGGCTGGCACGGCTAGGTTTGGATTTATGCCTACTATGCAACTGGACATTACAATCGATTCATACAGCACGGGTAAAGTAGAGATACATGAAACAATTAGTGCATTTCACGATGCCTTTGTGGCCATTACATCTGACGACAAGAACTGCCCTTCCTTACAAGCAGGTATTAGCGGTGCTCAGATTAGCCTCGAAAGTGTTGCAGGTTCTTTCACGCCCTGGAGTGGTGATGACACCTCTCAGCAAATATTGAGCCACATAAAGTCTTCTGATCTGCCGACGATATGTCCTAGATCTTTCTCTGGAAGATCCATGATTTCGGGGGATCTCCCTAATGTCGTGATAAATTACCCCGCTCCTTATGTTTTTGGCAATTATTATCTCATCACATGTGCTGTGGGGCTGGGTGCAGGAGATTATTTATTTATTGGACCTCAATCTGGAGATCCAGAGTTCTGTTCCACTTCCCCTGAAATGTTTCCATATTCCGGGATCTTCGACATCGATGGCTCAGAACTAGAATATGAAGACCCCGAAGGTATTGGGCCAGCCCCGGGCATTATTAGCCTAGGGTTCCGATCTGTTGAGGAGAGAACCGCTTGGCGTATGTTTCCAGCCTTTGCTATTGGCTTTAAAAAAGCGGCAGTAAAGTCTGTATCGTATCCCAACTGGCAACGATTACTCAAGTACACCGCGTTCGTATACCGCAATTACGGGCAAGACTTCTCTAAAGCTGCGACACAATGTGCAGTGCCAATTTTGCTTAATAATTTACCACATACCGCAGAAACAGTTGTTGAGCATGTATTCGAACAACAAGTACTGGCCAAGTTCATCTTTACGGCATCGGGCAACATTAAGGAATTCCCTTCTGGTTTGATACCTACTCGTGCTATAATCCCAACCGCTGCATGGGATGCATTTGCAACGATACAGGTCAAAAGTGCTATCACGGGCGAAATGGGAACAATGATGCAGCATTTGTTCTCAGCTCTCGGTTCCTATCGATATCCTGGCGCTCTGAGCTTAGTCCATAGAGACCTGAATGCGTTATAAGGGCAATTACACCGAACAAATGTCCTGGAGTTTATAGGCAAGGAGAAGTGAAAAACACTAAATACATCGCAACAGTTCAAAAATTTGATCAGGTTTATGGCGACCTACGAATACATGAACTTTCCAGACAACGAGGCCATATTAAGAACAGTTTATCTGGTCCTCCTTGAGGAGTTGATAAACTGGGAAAAGAATCTTGCTATGGCCGAGGGTATTTCGCAATGGTTTATAGAATTTGTGGACGATTTTCACAAGACTATGGATCTGAAAGCGAAAAGCTTTGTTATGGATAAGACAACAGGGATCATTTAGAAAGCTGGCGGGCTCACTAGATCAGCGCAGATTCAGGAAGTAGCTGAGGAGATACAGGCCCAGATCCCAAGCACACTGAGAAGTTCATGGATGGATTCTATAGGCCAGGGGCCAGGTGCTGATCTTTTCTTAGGTCAAGTACCACAGGCCGGATCTACATGAAGACTAGCGAATAGAAAAAGTAGATAGAAGTATTGGGTACTTAAGTAAATCTTTACTTAGATAGACGCTAATCTGAAGCACGATATTCTTGACATCAAAGCTGGCATCTGGCCAAATAGCCAGTTTTCCCTTGATTTCCCAGTCGTTATGAACTCGCGATTTTGCTAACGAGCACCTAACAGAACACGCGAATGTTATTCTGTCATTAATTCAAGCAATGAGATCCGCTTCGTTTTCTCTTGATGAGGATCTAAACAATATGAGCATTCTTTTGTAACCCAAGAGCACTTCAGAATTCCATTAGGAAAATTGGCATGAGAAATAGGCCACCTTCACAATGCTACCCATTAATATACTGGTGACCTACCCAATACATGATCCATCGGCGACGCTCTTATCAGAAGATTGCCATGATACCCCAAAGGAAACACGTCTCTCTGATTATGTGTAGTCCATTAAGAGCGAACCTCTCACTAAACCCTTTGCTTCTCTTCATTTCACCTCCTTAGTACAAAATTGACCGCGCAAGTTTGTTATGACGAAGATAACACAGATAATTGATGATCTTGGTGAGATCACCACGTGAGAGCGTGAGATGAATAAGAAGAGCTTGAGAAATATTCGAGCCGAAGTCCCTAATATAATGAGTAGTCATTGATTGTATAGCCCGCCGGGAAGTTGGAAACCAAGTCGGCTTAATGTCCCTTATCTTGGAGCAATGAGGTAGGTTCTGATTCAACGGTTGACGATCAATAAAACATTGTACTCATAAGGCAATTTTGGTTGTTATTGAATGTGAAAACATTTGTATGTATCAAATGAAACTGGTCTACCTAGTAGTAATAAATTGACGTGGACGTCTCTTTAGGTTCGTTTGTGTCTTCACATGATCCAGCGAACCGTTCTGTTGCTAAATTACCCCCAGATCTATCTAGCCCGATGCAATATCGCACCCAGGACAAGTCGGGCAATATCCATCAAAATCTCGGTACCGGTGAAAGAGGTGAGGAGGGTCGGACATTTCTTCTCCGATTTGTTGATCGCCTACCAGTATTAATCTTGGCAACGAACACAAAATCAACGTACAATCTGTGCCAGCTTTCGCCAGCCAATACGCGGCAATTACTAAATCTTTTCCACCTTATTCTGGATGTATCTAGTACGCCGACACTTATCTGAAGCTTGGTTTAGCATTTGATCTTTGTGACAACTTTAATCTTATGCTTCAACTGAGTGAGTGGGACCAAAGGGTTTCTTCGGTTCAAGAGGTGGAAGTATGGATCCGAATATGAGAATGAGAAATCCTTGACTTGCCATTGGAATTTCAGAATGAATGAACTAGCGAAATCTGTGTGTAGTACAGCAAGTTACTCCATATGGCAAATATTCAACTTGGGATACAATTAGTCGAACAACCGAAGGCTCTGGGGGAAGGATTGCATATATCAATACTTGGGTCGGCTAGTACCAATTTCTCAACATGTGGCGCAAACAGACGGTTTCGGATCAATCTGTGTTACGATATGTGACCATCAAGCAAAACCCGTCCACTTGGCAATCACCGCAATATCCATTGTCGGGACCGAATGCAAAGACTGAGGCATTATTCTAATTTATTGGTGTTCAGCTCCTTCATGTACTCAATTTTTAGTATCAAATGTAGAAATACCCAACTGCGCCGTCGTCATAAGCGACCAATCATTTCGCGTCTGACGGCCCGCCGCCCAAGATATGAGATGAACTTCGGGACCGACAAGATGTCGATATGCAACAGATCTTTCGAAAGAAATGTCCATTGGCTGACATTGGTGCTATATCTATTGCTTTGCGAAGCACATGTGATTCTAGATACTTCTTTTGACTCGGGCAACCAAATGATAGTATATGGAGCTTACCCTTATCATGGAAGTCAAAGGGGAATGCTTGTCGCCAGTGTTGACAGCATTCTAAATGCAGCCTCTGATGGTTCATCCTACATTTTCTTCACAATCATAAGATATGTGAAGTTTCTGGCTCTGGTTTTAATCTCGTTGTTTCTTATTTCGTCAAGCCTATACACCTTTCATACTGTTGCACAAATGCTGGATAGGGGGCTTAACGATATTCGCCCACCTTTGACATTGAACATCATGTTCCTGGATACTCATAACACAATACAAACACGACAATACACAGGATACGTCTTTGCAAGCTTAGCGATGCGGCAGTAAGAAGTTTTCTACGCCGTGATTCTTTGTGCCACTGATGTTAAAACTCGGACTCCGAGGCTTCGGACGCATACTTTATGTGATATAAAGTCTTACAAAGCATATCATCAAGTCATTTGAGTTTTTGAACTTCAGTCAGTTTTCTCATACCTCATTATTGAATCTAGCTTTGACGCTCCTCGTTCTCGTTCTGTCTTGCTTTCAGCCTCTTCTCTCACAATAATGCTATACCACCAACTACCGCAAGTAGCAATCGTTGGTGCATGGACTGATGCGAAATTTGATTCAGCATTGTTCCTTCAGTTTCCGTCCATACACCATATGAATCCTTACATTAATTCATTACAGATCAAACAATGGGACTCTCAATTCTGAAGCCATACCATTGCTAAATGAAATTAACTACAAATGTTGAGGCTTGAGGAGCGCTCCGGCAGTCTATGCTCCCAATGTTGTAGCGAGCCGGTATTCTTTTCAATCTTCGTTAATGAAAATTTTATCTCTACAGTCTACAAAAGCAGCATACATGCTCCCCCCACGTGGTTCGGACATACCGGCAAACAGAATACTCCGACTCGGTGTTAGCATGCGGCAGATCTAGAAACAACTTTCCATCCAGAGGTGGACGCACACAGGGACTCCTTATCTCACATTCCTCTTAGCTGAAATCACTCAACTCCTGCAACAATCCAACTTTATTACAAAAGTTTATGGCCAGTTTATGGCCAATACCATCATTCATTCCCCAAGCAATTCTAAGCACGGCATTTTTGATGTAAAAAAAACTGCAATAGTCTACAACTATCGTTTAGACCCCTATTTACTCTGTCTTTAGCCTTATCCCCGTCTCCTTTTCTATTGCTTGGCGTTACTCAAAACCACTTCACCACCCGAAGGGGGGAAAAAAGCAAAAAGAATACATACAACAGTGGGGATTCGCTGGTGGTCACCCACCCAACTACTAATCCACCGATCTGAAGCTTGTGTATGGCAGAGCGGACGGGATGCCCAATTCTCTTCAGTCTATGGTCGTATGTAACAGAATTTTATGTATTTGCAAACTAATACTAAAGCTGAATTGAATCTCATCAGCATTTATCAATGGACCCTTGATCTGGTCACTCACCTTATACATCTTTCTCATGTCTTCCTCCAAATCTTTGGTATGAGCATACTGTATAGTAAGATCCCCATCCGAATCCTCCTATTCACTGAGCACCTTATCGAATGACGGCTTTTTATACTTCACGCTTGTCAAATCGCCTCGTCTTCAGTTGTGATAACTATTAATGAGATCTTTGATTGTAGGTCAAATCAATTCTACATGTTTTTTAATTTCATAGCCAAGATATCTGATTCGTCGTCAATGCATGAGAAAGTTGCCCTCATGCTCATCAATGGTACTCAAAAGGTCTGACATACCTTATGGTTTCAAGATGGGGGTCTGACCTATTCCCTCAAAGCTTCGCCGCGCGCCTGTTTCTCGACAATTTGCTGAAGTACTCTATGGGTGGATTTTCCAACAATTAGAATGGACTTCTCAGTACTGTGTGGAGCTGTATCAAGTTTCGAACGCATAGATTTGCAAACGTTGGCTTCTAATGCTCTTTCCTTGTGCTCTGACAAAATATTTAGGCCGTCGATCATCCTGACCACTAATTGCTTAGCATTGAAGAGAAACTCTTGACCGACTTCTTCAATGACTTTGCTCGATCTGAGCTGCATTGACAAAGCTTTTTCCTGAGCGAGAGGCCATGCGTATACCACCCGCTGAGAGACATCAAACTCTGATTCTACTTCACTCCAGGTGCTTAATTGCATATATGCACAGCCAAGCGCATCTTCTTTAAACAGTACAAGAGACCCAGCGTGCGAGCAAAGGCGTATCACCAGCTTTCGTGATATAGTTATTTTCTTCTATCGAGAAGGGAATGAACTACGCGCCGACACCATTCTAGTAGTTTCCCTCACGCCAAAGCTTTCTACAACACCTCTGGTGCCTCTTAGCTCTTCATACAGAGCTTAAGCCATGAGTCATGAGGACGAGGTCATATCTGACGTCTTTGATAGGTTCAGCGCCGGACCTGGAGACGATTGCCTTTTAATGTTGCGCCAATGACAGTACTGACTCTGACAGTTACCACTGTAAGAATGCAGTATTATCGAAAATCTATCCTCGCATATGTGAAGAGGTCATCCATTCCACGTATATCATTTTGAAACCCTATACCAATTCCCAATCAAAATTTACCTTGTACTGACCTACCATCCATGTCGAGAAAGCTTCAGATCCACGAAGAAGGATCTTGAGCATTCATACAGCTGAACACTCCAGATACGTTCACAACTGCAGCTCCGCGTCAATATCGGGACACTTCTTGTCAACTCGAGCATGGCTCCCTCCTCAATACACCGTTTTTCTGGCAGTTCATATTGTGAAAGATACCCATTTTAGGGCGGGAAAGATGAGAGGGGAATGGGATAGCCGAATGTCGATTTTCGAATCTACCGGCTGTGTTTTCAGCTACTCTTCACGGTGTCCTTATGATTGGCTGTGCTCAGTTTTTACTGCCAAAAGAGATTACATTCATATCTCTGCAACGTAAAATGCCAATTAGGATAAGTTGAGCGATAACTCCAAGGCCAATCTTCTCAAACTAGAGAGGCACGAGGACTAGTTTGAGAGTATCCTGGCATACACAATTCGTGGAACGGCATCATGGGGCATTTGAAAGCCTACAGAGTTCCAACCATATGGAGAAGCATCGCATAATGACAGTTCTCAATGTACAACCAAACCTATTGTGAAAAGGTTGTTTGTTCCATTTTCCCATCGATACAATACCGATGTGCCAGTGGCTATCTGATCATTTCAAGGCTGACTGGGTAGCTTTGATTACAATCAAGATTTCAAGGCCGACAAAACCACAGCTAAATCCAGAACTACTATTTGAAGTGCGGAAAAACTAGAAATCATCGGATACGGTAAATATCAATCAATGCGTAGGTGATTGCTTCCTTCGAATTCCCCCAGCCAATTTCGAGACGATATGTCATAGATAGCCGTAGAGCTCGCTCATGCAGGGATCTGTATTAGAAGGCTCCAAAGAACAAGGTCAATGGTGTATACATAACACTCATGTTAAGGCAAAAGAAAATTGTATGAAGCTCTATTTTTTGGCCAATATCTGTTTGATAAATTCCTCCCATCACCATAGGAAACTGAAACATGCACACACCTATATATATAAAGGGAAAATAAGTACATAGGGTATCAATTCTTATACCCATCGACTATCCGAATTAAAGAGAAAAGAAAGCCTTGAGTATATTAGAAATGGTGTAATATGCATGCTCCTGCACACATTCCAAAGCATAGCAAAGGGTCCGACTGTATTAAACCCGGTACCACCCCCTTTCCACAGCGAGTCAAGCGATCGAAGTATTGATGCGTTAATCTGTACATGAATTCTTGACCGTCCGTCTCAACATCATCTCGTAATGGAGAGGGCTTTCACGTAAATTGCAAATGCGATTATCCTAGCATTTTTTTCGTCAACATCGTATCGTACAGGAATAATTAAAAGAAGAGCTGGAATCTCCATATTATACATAGCTGATTCGAATATAGTTAATTATGATGGAATTATTTTATGTCGATCCTGTTGTTCCTGTATATCCGATGATTTCTCGGTCGTCGTCAACTAATCTTCCGTATCTGGACAGATATTAATACTATACTGGAATAGAAACGTAGGCAAGAGCGGAACTTACTCAAGCATTAATCTGAAAAACCATACTTCTAGGTCTTCGTTTCTGAGCACATGATCTGCCCAATCTCTTCCCTGCAGGGCAATTCGTTCTGCTTCTTTCTTCCCAACGTCTTCTCCTGCAAACCATCGTACTGCCTCAACCCATTCATCGCCTCTTAAGCTTAAAGGTATATAATGCACCCAAGGCTTGAGCCATTCCTCATGCCATTCTCTGAAGACAGCCATTTTATACACCAGACTTTTGCTCTTCAAAAAAGCGTAAAATCGACCACTGAAAGCATTTCCATCCATATCAAGCAGATACTTATACTTCCATGCATCTTGTTGCTTCGCTGCCTCCTTAACATCAAAGAAATTCTTTTGGGCTTCGCAATCCCCAGGATCGCATTGCCCAACGTGGGAGAAGAAGATGTCAAAAATCTCTTTATAATCACTTCGTGGTACACTCTTCACCTGCCAATCTTCCTTTGTCTCTTCGCCTCGATTGACCAAGATCTTTGCTTGATCGCCAGCGTTGACTTTTTGTACTACTTTTTGCCTATGTTGCCGTCTCCAGCCACCATCTCGACTAAAGCCTCCGGTTGTCGAACCTCTCCAATATATTTTGTCTTTCTTATCCTTCCATTCCTTGTCTTCGGCTTCCTCATATGGTACTTTGCCATACCAGTACCAAGGAGATGGATACAATATATCGGAGAACGATGAGATCTTTGATTGAGAGAAAATCGGGAATAAGTCATGCACGATATTAAAGGCGTTGGGACGATCGAAAAATCCGAAGGATTCGCTAAAAGAGGGCGATTGGCAAATATCTGAGAACGCAGTTTGGTTATACACGAATCCCAGCTCCGTCACGGCATAACTGCCGTAATTGTCCTCTTTTAGTCCATCGTTGAGACTCCTCGCAGCACTATCTGGAGGGCAAGACATTCTTGAATGGGTCCACGTTGGCTGATGAGAAAAAACGTTGAATCGTGTAGTCTTCACTTCGGGTACTCGCAGGCCGTCACTAGCGACATCAATCGGTCTAGGCGACCATGAGTTTCTGGGTGCTTCGACAGAATTCGCATTCGGCATATTCTGATCTTTTGCAACATGTACTAGCCGGGCTAAATCTTCATATGGCACAACCACACGAGGTTCATCGTGAATGTTGAAGCAAAGATCCATGTCAGGGAGGTACTTCAGAAATGGCTTCATCATTCCTACCGTAGCGTCTTGTTGCCATTGGTTCCCTCCCTCAATCTTTGTAACCTTCCCTCCTCTAATTAACAATCCTATGAGATTGTTAGGAAAACCCAATGCCTCTCGTGCTCTTCCTCTGATTGTTTCCGGTTTCAAACCCCAAAACGGCGTTAAGGAAGTATGTATGTTGTCATATTCGTCGATCAGTTTTACACCTTTTGACTTCGCGAAATTATACCATTTGTCGAAATTAGGGGGCGGAGGTATTCCATATCGTTTTCTATATTCTGCCACTGCCTCCTCCAATGTCTTCGATTGTTTCGCATTTGTATTCTCGAATGCTTGCTCATTATCCTTGATTAATTGATAAATTGGATGCGAAGGACCAATATGATATGAAGCTTCCTGCGGTTTCTTGACATCATCAATGGAAGTAGATATTCGATTGGGTATGCTTGGCTGTTTCGGTTTCTGATTAGAGGATGGGAAAGAAGTTGAATGGTATGGAAAAGGCGCTCGCAGGTAGAATATCGAGAATGTAGCCAAGGTAAGAATGCTAATCAGCAGTAGAAATTGGCGAGACTTCATTTTCCGCCGCGTCTTCATTATCATTGCGCTGAGAGAAGGTCTTCTTGTCTCATCATGTCCATCGAATGGAACAAAGTGCACTTGCTCAGCGCGATGTTGAAATGCCGCACTTGAGCTCCTACGACGAGTTTGTCCAGCCATAGTAACTGTTGGGCCAGAAGCAGACTCTTTGTACTCTTTACTGCGACTTCCGGGTGCTCGTGAGACCCCCTTGTTCTTTGGATAATTGTTATTTATCCTTGCACAACGAATGCGGCCTTCCTGCCGACGAGACGCGCATATGAGTGGAGTGGATAAAGTCGTACACGAATATGATTAAAACAAAAGGGAAATACAGTATTAAATGTAACTGTTTGTCGCGTGCGTGTGGGTAGCGGCGACGAATTGGAATTTTCGCAAGATGTTTTTCTCTTCTTTGGCTGAATCGAATTGCTGGTGATTTACGAGTATTTTCTTATAATACTTTCGTCCTAAAGTTGCTGGTTGTAGTGGGGAGGGATCCTTCCGATGTTCTGGCCACAACCACAATGCTACCATATGAACCACACCTAGGTACTCGAAGCTCCCACTACCTAGTAGATAAATAACCCCGAGCCAATGTTCCATTCTTCAATTTCTTGGGAAAAGTTATGTTAATTTCGCCACATTATACAGTCCATAGTACTCCTTTTTCGTGTTATGAACGATTGTGCAAAAAGGAGTTGTGTCTGAGATTCTGAGCGAATCCGGTCCAACAAAAACTCGCTCATTATCGGAATTGAAACCTTGGAAGTATTTTGTTGTGGTTCTACCAGGAGTCAAGGACGTTCGAAATCAGGTATAATGCATTTTGTGATGTAGTAAAGTAGGCCTTGATACGGCGTAAAGCATTCCTTCATTCACTTTTTATGTCTCGATGTATTTTCCAAGAATTTGTATGTATGCATAGGTAGATAAGAATATCTTCGGTGTTTAAGCCCAAAAAAGCTTAGGATATAAGGTAATATTAATGTTTACGCCACGAACATGCATCTTGGGTCTACACATTCAGGAGTCTCGTAGATGGATGCTAAAACATATCATATTTGCTTAATGCTGACGTAACATAACATATGGGTAAACTACCACAAGCTTACAGTAGCGCTATACGCGCGCCTTAAATTATACCGCCTGAATTGCCTGTTGCTTGATCGAACGGAGTAACTTCGCCAATGTGAAGTGTCGTTTGTGTAAATCAAGCTAGAACATCGTTAAAACAAATGAACATCACTTTGCACGACTGGAGAACAAAATTTATAAATCATGAGATTAAATTGACTTTTGGTGATAGACCTATCTATTCTTCAAATGAAGAATTCGAACCATGCACAAAGCAAGAACGAAATGGGTATATTCAGCGACCTGTTCTAGATATTACTCCAACCCCGGAAGCTGGGTCCCCTAGATGGCTACATTTCTCATATGATTTGTATTCCTTTATTGGTATTTTGCGTCTAGTAGAAGAAACCGAGGACCTTTCCGGCAACGTGCTTGCGTCTAGCCTCTTCGTGGTCCATGATACCAGCGGAGGTGGTGAGGACGATGTGTCCGAATTGACGGGATGGCAAAAGCTTGACAACCCACTTCTCGAAGTCCTCAATCTTGACGTTGTATCTTGGGGAGATAACACCGGTCTTGTTAAGACTGTATCGTACAATTAGTAATGTGCTTTCAATAGTATGGTGGAAGTTGTTGCTTACCGGCCGTTCAATTGAACAACGACCTTTCCGGAACGGTGGTCATCAACCTCCTCGAATTCTCCGATGTAGCCTAAAGAGAGACATTAGTATGTTGCGAAAGATTAAACATATAACTTCATAAATAATAATCAGAGAACGTGTAAGATCCGCGCAGTTTGATATATCGGCAACTTAAAGGACTTTGATCGTGTGGAGTTGAGATCATTATCTAGTTATCATGCCGAATGAAGGAATAGAAAGAAACATTTGTCGACATACCGTGCTTTTGCATGACACCGAGGAACTTGACGATGACCTTGGAGGATGGGCGGATGAGAACTTGACGCTTTCCGGCCTTCTCAGCGTTGTTGATGGCGTTGAGCGCATCGTTGAGGACTGAAGTCTTAACCATTTTGACGGATAGAGATTCTCAAATAATCTGCTTGATCAAAGATGAGGTATCTGCAGGGTCGATATGTTAGCCTTCAAGATTTCTCAAGCATAAAGAGTGCCCTCATGATTGACAAGAGGGTTCTAAAGCTCGTGTCGAATGATAGAGTGAGTAGTGTCAATATCTTTCAGCTGCTATGGATTCATGGTGATAAACAAAATAGGCCGAAGCTTATCGATTATCGAAACCAAAGAATACCACAATTACAGCAGAGTAGATGATCGATTTGCTCCTCTTTGTCAATCATGAAGGACTTTATGAAAAAAAAAAGCCATCGTAGCAGTATTTACACACCTCGTTATAGAATGGGCGTTGAAGTTGTCGTGAGATGGGATTCGGAATAAATTTCAAGATTATGAGATTTTCAATCAAAATTTACTATGGAGAATTTTAAAATTCATTGTGGGAACTTTTCGTGATTACCTAATTGGTCGCCTGTGCTAGGGTCTCGCTAAACGCAGAATAATTACAACACAAGATTCTGAAGCTAATTTTCTCCATACATTAAAATACAAATATATCAACATACTCTTCGAGGACCTAAAGATATCATCACAATCAAGATGGTAAGTTGGTTTTTTTGTTATTTTTTTGTCGAAAACGTCCATCGATTGTCTGCGCCATTGGCGCAATGAAGTCGCATATTTGGGATATATCCCCCACCAAAATACGAAATTCAATGAGATGGGTTTTTACAAATAATCGTCGCTAACAATCATCCTCTCATAGTCTGACGTAGAAGAGCCAACCTCCCCAATTGTCGCCGAGGCCGATGAGGTCGAAGTTTCCGGAGATGCATCCAAGGGACAAATGTCCGTTATCGACGCATTGAAGGGTGTCCTCAAGCTCGCACTTATGCACGATGGTCTCGCCAGAGGTCTCCGTGAAGCCTCCAAGGCTCTCGACCGTCGCCAAGCACACATGTGTGTTCTCAACGAGGCATGTGAGGAGGAAGCATACAAGAAGTTGGTCGTTGCTCTCTGCTCCGAGCACAAGATCCCCTTGATCAAGGTTCCAGACGGAAAGCAATTGGGCGAGTGGGCTGGTTTGTGTAAGTATATCTGGTACATTATTACCTGGGGCTATAACTGACAGATTTTTAGGTGTTTTGGACCGTGAGGGTAACGCACGCAAGGTCGTCAACTGCTCCTGCGTTGTCGTTAAGGATTGGGGTGAGGAGTCTCAAGAGCGCACCATGCTCCTCAACTACTTTCAAACCGAGCAATAAATACGCCACGGAAATGGAGTTTCTACAGCGGACATGCATTGTATCATTCTGGTTTACACACACATAGCGTGGATTACTGGTGGCAATGACATTGGCTATGGAGCATCAAAATTTCGTCCCTTTTCGCACAGTGAACGCACGTGAACATGCATCTTCAATGGCCAATTCTATAACCTTCCATTGGTCGCGCCGCATCTTTTGACCTGTGCTTCTGCCATTTGTGGAGAAATCGTATTAATTCTAATCAAGTCAGGTTCTCAGCCCTATCCATGGGCTCATCTAGAACCTTTTTATGCACTCCATGCAGAAAACGCAAACAACGCCCGACACCCTTCAGCTAGTAATTTCATCAAACCCTTAAAATGCACATCCCATCCTACCAAAGTCTTTCTCGTCCTTGAATCAGCTTCCAATATTTATTTCTCGCTCCATTAGATTCTTCTTGCCTACTTCCTCCCTTCAACCATAAGAATATGATAGCCAAACCCTGTCTTCACTTCTCTATACTTTGGCTTCGCCGTAGTACTGGCTTCCATTTCAAAAGCCACTTTTTCAAACTCAGCATCTAAATCTCCCCTCCCCTTCCATCCCAATGCACCTCCTAGGATAAAACTCCTTGTCAGCTTCGATTACTGAATTTCTCCCCCACTCGAAGGAAATAGTTACAAAAGTGACCTAGCAAACAAGAAAAAAAGCTTACCGGCTCTCGCCTTATCTTCAGACATCTCCCGAGCCACACTATCAAAGCTTGCGCCCGCCTCTAATTTTTGGAGAGCTTCCGTCATTTTACTATGTTTGGAACACTATTATACGTATGCATATCAATATCTCATCCGCTGATCATTTCCAATCACAAAGGAAGGATGTAAAGATCAGGTGACGCACGAGTATATGTCGAACATTAATCTGCTGGGCTCCTTTCACTTTTGTTTCTTTCGCATCGCCCGTGTCGTTTGCCTTTCCCTTTCCTCCTTTCCCGGCGGCTTTCTTGGCTGGTGGCATGTTGATAGTTTGAGCGATGTAGGATACCGAATTTTTGTTTCGTTGCGTTGAAGAGCTGGTTGTCTGAATCTGGATGTTGTCAGCGGAGCGTGACTTTTTGATATCATCAATCTAGGCTAACCGAATGTGAATGGAGGGGCATTTGATATGCTTGCTAGGACCTCGGAAAGAATGTCCGATGATGTGATCAAAAGTTTGACTTTACTTACAATTTTCTTTGAAGAATGTTTTTTGTATATTTTACTTTATTCGTACATACAATCATTTAGTCGTTTATATAGAATATTATTTTATTTGTTTCATGTATTTATAATTGTACAAACAATTTTCTCTCCTTTCAATACCTTCACGCTTGCTTGTATCATATTCATATATAGATTTCATATATTTCGACCAAAAGATTTCCTTTCCAAGAGAATCGCCTATCCTGCCCGAAATTACGTTCAATATTTCACTACACACCCCAAATGACTCCATCTATAGCTCTCGATGCTACTGGCGCATGCTCAATCTCTCTCTCATCCAACAAAACCTCCTCGCCCCCCGACTCCTTCCATCAACTCGTCGCAGACCTCTCTCAAATTCTCGGGCCATCCTCCGGTCTCACATCCGCGGACGTAGATGTGCAGCAGCTTCGCTCCCTAATGGAGTGTTACATCTCCAACGAAGACGAGTGGCGAAAATACGCATTTGCAGATTTAAGCAGAGGCTACACGAGAAATTTGGTAGATGAAGGGAACGGGAAGAGTAATTTAGTACTGGACTCCTACCCCTCCTTGCTTCACTCTCGATACTGCCGAACTAACCATCAATCTCTCTCTAGTTAATTCTGGTCTGGAGTCCAGGAAAAGGCTCACCCCTACACGATCACGCAGATGCACATTGTCTCATGAAAGTGCTCTCGGGAACTCTCTCGGAAACCCAATATACATTCCCATCCACCTCGACCTCCACCTCCTCCACAATTTCCCCATCGGCGCCCCAGGCTTTCAACACTCCCCCCACAATAATCAAAACTACAACCTACACCACGAACCAAGTAACCTACATGTCCGATGATCTTGGCCTCCACAGAATATCCAATCCCGATCTCGAGAACGTGGCTGTGAGTTTACATCTATACACGCCTCCGAATGCGGCGCGAGAGGGCTGTCATATTTTTGATGAGAAAACGGGAAGGAAAAGTCATGTTACACAGTCCAACTTCTACTCGGTGTTTGGTCAAAGGGTCGGCGGACAGGTATAATTTATATTGTATGATTGTTTTGAAGATTTGGAGATAGATGAGATGTAGACTTTGTTTTGTATTTCGTCAAATATTTAGAGATGAGAGGAGATGTAGATGCTAATTTGAGCCGTACGGTATCTAGAAATTGGGATGGAACATACGATACCCCATTTGGTGTCTTTGGATATTGTTCTAGGTCTTTTCAGATGTTAACCACGCAACATGGCAATACAATGCCTATCTTAGAGAATTGGGCATTATGTGTCAGACGCTCCAGGTCTCTACAGACCGTTACAACGATTCTTGGCTTGGGTTTGGTTATGCAATGTTAAATTGTATGATCGAGCTGTCAAAATCACACCCATTTTGATATATGGAATAAGTCATTTAAATGATAATGGACACTCACACCTCATTATGGTATTGAGGCATGACAAGCAACTGCAAGATAGGAACGAGGGGTATGAATCATTATTCACGTCAAATTTTTTATCAATGCACTGTTTCATGAATTTCATTCTTAACATGTGTACTTTTATTCATGCCTCATTCAAAGACATAGAGTCTATCTACCAACAAGTCATTGCTTAGTATTTGTAAGTCCATGACTTTAATATGCGTCATAGAATAAATTTATCTATTCGATAAGCAACAAATCATACCAGATTTGACCACGGGAAATTTTGCCACAAACTCCAACCTTAAAATATGTAACAATCGCTTCAACACAAGTGAAACAACTATCTCCCTGAAGAGAAGTCGGGTTGGTAGACCTGGACGCCTCCTTGCTGCATCAACTCCCGAAGAGCCATTGTAGCATACATACTTGAGCCGAGACCAAATTTGACAATAACTGCGAGTCGAGCAGGCTTTGCTTCTTCTGCAACTGCCTCGACAACTGGTAAGTTTGCCATTTCAGTGTCAGTGGACGTTGGCTGAGGTAATTCGGATGATTTGGTGTCTTCTTTGATCTCAGTAGAAACTACAGCGGAATCGCCGTCACTCTTATCCTCAACCTCCACAACTTTGATGACTACTTGATCTCTCTTGTTTTCGCCAACAGGCCCCTTCGAGATCTCATCAGCAGATCTCTTGAGACCAGCCGAGACTTCAAGTTTGACGCCTCCATCTTGAGTCTCAGTGTCATCATCAGATTCGTCTAGTGGAGTTTCAGTGACCTGGACCTTCGACTTGCTCTTGATGTCTGCCACTCTGTCATTCAAGCTGTTTGCTTCGATGGGCTCGTTCTTCGAACCGAGAGTTTGTTGAGTTCTAACTCCAGTACGACGACCCTCATCGTCCACAGAAGTTTGGATAAATGTCTCTTGATAGATTGGCTGCTTGATAGCATCCACATCGACAGGCTTCAGTTTTTCTACCTCCCATGCTTCAGCTGCAGCTTTGTCTTCTTCGGCAAGTTTGTTGGGTAGTGCTTTCCAAGCATTATGCTGAGCACTACCACCATAGACAACATGGTTTTGGCGACCTTGCTCTGCGGCATCAGCCATGTGACGAGCACGTTCACCTTGTTGTCTTCCACCTCGGTTGTACTGAGCGCCATTATCTCGATGTCCGTTCTCCTGTCGATTGTCATTCTGATGGCGGTTATTCTCTTGGAAGTTTGCATAGCCATGTGGGTCGCCTTCTCTCCTAGCGTAGACGTGTGTTGTTTGAATATGGGAAGGCTCATGATCTTGAGGATTGTTCTTCTCAATAATCTCCAAGTCAGTCTCGACTAACTGTTCGGTTTCATCGTGATAAGTTCTGACTTCGAAACTCATGCCCTCCTTGACTCGGCCAATAAAGTGTCTGTAGCTACCACTAAGACTGAAGTCCTTGATCTTTCGACGCATATCCGCAGGATCCAGACCACCACCCTGCTCGCTAGCCATGAACTCCTTGTAAAAGTCTCCAATTTCGTTATTGGGGTATTCAATGTCATAGCCTGGCATAGGAAGGACAATGTCGAATATGGTGAAGGTTCCGCTGTCAGCTTCTTTGGCCGAAAGGCAGCGTGCACGCTGGAACACCTCATCTGAAGTAAGTGCGGCGTCCCCTCCAGATGCGTGAATCACAATTTCTCCATTTTCATCAACTTCATCTTTTTGTTCCGGAGCTTTGCTCTCTATCAGAACAAGATCACCCTCAATAACCTTATCTCCATAACGTTCCCATCTTCTGGAGGCTACAATATTCCAAATGAAAGATTGGTATCCATGCACATACATAGTACGGAGATGGCGTGAAATGGAGAGTATAGCACCCGCATAGTCGTTACGCTTGCGCTCAGAAGACATGTGTTGAATGATAGCTCGCTCTGCAGAAAATCTTGGTGGAAGCGAGTCCCTGCCACCGGAGTTCCTGCCGGTTTCCCGAAATTTATGGATAGCAAGGGCACGCGCCATATCATCTCTACCAATGGTGCTGCTATCTTGGCCTGACTGGGCTGCTGCAAGTGCATCCTCGTTAAACGCGAGCAAAGAATCGACGGCACCCTTGAAGTTACCTTTCAAAATCAGTTTGCCGATTTCATGTGTACCGATTGCGAAGGTACCAAAACGTTGCAAGCCAAAGTAATTGAGAAAACCGCGGGTTTGCAGGTGTTTAATAGCATCACCAACTACTTTTTCTGCCGATTGAACCTTTGCAGCATCGTCCATATTACTACCGTCTCCGAAATGGCAATCGCGCAGTGTAATGGTAAAAAAGTTGCCCTCGAGATCGCCTAGTCTGAGTGGATACTTTTCATACTTAAAGTCGCCAACTCTGCACCGATTTCTTAACGTCTTGTTGAGCTCAGCCATGCTTGTGAGATGGTGTCGAAAAGCACTGACACGCTGCGAGGTGGCTGCACGGCGATCTTTGGTACCTGCGTAGGCAAAGTCTTTGGGCCCAGTCCTAGTCAACTTAGCCAACAAGTTAATAGTCTCCATGGTGTCCTTGTTCTCCTTGTAAAGCGTGAAGTGAAGATATTCCCCACCAAGTTCTTCCCATCCAATTTTTCCCTTTGGTTTGGGCTGGCCATTTGGCTGACCCCGAAAGTTGCCACGACCGGCATTATTTTGGCCTCTACCGCGCTGATTTTGTCCTCTGCCACGTTGTTGCTGCTGCGGAGCAGCCGCGAAGATACTGATGGAATTATCATCTAAAGCCTCAGTCTCCAGACGCGACTCAAAACGCGCACGCACAAAGCCATGAATGCGTCCACGGCGGGGTCTATCGTCGATTGGTTCCGACTTTAGAGAGCCAAATGTAGCAGCTTTGGCATTGGGCTTCTGCTGTACTTTTTTGTCCAACTCGATTATCTGGAGTGCCAGAGCGTCGCCAAAGTATTCAACAAGAATTTCCATATCGTTGGGTCGAATTTCTTTGATACCGACGACATTTGGCTCTTCAGCCGATGGCTGTGCAGTAACATCACCACTGACTGTAGGAACAGAAGTGCTTGGAGCCGCAGAATCACTGTTGTTTGTGACATCTGCGAGAGCCACAATTTCAGCTGTAGCAGACCCAGTAGAAGTAGGTTGTACAGATCCAGTCTGACCCGAACCTCCTGCTGTTGGTTGGTTCTCTTTACCAATCTCTGTTGAAACGGCAATGGCATTTGCTGCATTCTATTTGCAACCATTAGTTTCACTTTTTGCTAGAAAAGGGTAGATTCATCGAAGATATATTTTGGGGTAATAACTCACTCCACGCTGGTTGCTCTGGGGAGCTTTAATATCTCTAAGGTGGACCACCTCGCCTCCCAAGGAAATTTCGTTGACCAGGAAATCCGTATATCTAATGCACCATAATTAACTAGAGTTCAAACTGAAGATAAAGTTACAATATTAATATGATCGTATAGCCATACTGGCAATAACTACAATCCCGTTGACCGCAAGGAAAAGCGAAATAAAAGTAATTGGGCATCTCCAACGGATTCCGAAAGGTACACGCCATACTTGTGGAAGGGTACATAATCGAATTGTGAAAGCAATCATCTTGAACCGCAGTGACAAACAACGCATCAGATCGGGGGGAGGAAAGACAAACAAACATACCTCTGCTTCAATATACCTTGAAATCCAGGGTTCTTCTTGTTGACGTAATGAAGAATTCCAGATCGAACTTCTTGAGCATGTTCAGGTCGGGAAGATAATGGAACTTCAGGAACCAAACTTTGGCCTGGAGGGTCAATCTCCATCTTGTCGCTTGAATTTGCGTTTGAATTTGAACTGGTTGCGATATTCAATTGAGGAGAAGAAGTTGTAGAGATTGGGGTAGCTAAAGAAGAATCGAGCTTCTGCCTCTTGCGAGGTGACGAACCTTGTTCGTTGCTTTCTAAGCTAGCCATATTTGTCGATAAAATTCACTTGCTAGTCTAAGATCTCGAACTGGAAAGAACCTCGAATTATCAAATTGGGAAGGTTCCGACGGGAAGGTGAGGTCAGAAGTGAAGACTGAAAATGAATTGAGATTTTCCTCCAGGTATATTTGCACGTGATTTCGTCTCGCACTAACTACGGCAACCAGCCAATCCCGTAACTTATGCAGGCTTGTATGAGAGTAAAGATGCCAAAATTGATCACCCTAATAAGTTCTGTAATAAGTTCTGTGATAAATCAACTACAAATAAATTTATGAGGATTAGCAGAATTGAACAAATTCTTAAATAATCCACAGTCATTGTACTGTTCAATCTTTTGATTCTCTGAATCGAAATGGAACAATTGGGTCATTGAAAAGTTTCGCCAGCGATCAATTCCAATCCTTTTTTCTTTTATGTGTAGTTAGGTCAAGATCAAATACAGTCAAGTGCTCTTTCAATGTCCGAGATGATTTTATTGTCTGAATGCAAATTCTACCTGAGTAGGTGAGATTAAAAAGCTGTTGGAATCACTATCACAGAGAACCATCATATCTATCTTGATTCGTCAATTCGTTATATCATATTATGTATCATACTTCGTTGTAATCGTAGAGGGGTTCACTCCTTCCTCCGGTCTCCTCCAACATCCATCCTTATCATGTTCATCACGACATCGTTTTGACTCTCTGCGTTGTGTGTATCCTCAAACTAAGCATACTTAAGATGGTGTGGTTGGTTATGCTTCGAATGATAGTGGAAGCGGAAATGCATTCTCAAGTCTGTGAGTCGTACAATCTAGCAATTTGTATGCAGGCTGGTCGTAAGACTTCAATTTCGACACAAAAGCCTTTCGAGCCGCTTCCTTTTTACCTTCCGAGGACTTGTATTCTTTGTAAGCAGCTTCACCTTCGCGTGCCTTGATATCATTCTCAATCATCTTCTTATAAATCAAGAAGTTGTCCATCTGCCACGGAGTTGGAATCACATCCAGGTCTTCCATTGTGTTTTGTCCTGAGAGCTCCACTAGAGTTATAGTGTTACGATAGATGTCAGGTCCCGCCGACAGTTTCAAGAGGACTTGGCCCCAACTTTCGATCTTATAGCTATATAAGTTAGTATACATGAATATAATCTTTAAATCTATGAAACTACTCACAGGCCGTCATACCGAACACCGAGTCTGGGTGCCC